GGGAAAGATAATACCTTAAGACCTTCTTTAGACAGTGAAATTCAAGGAGAAAAAGCATTAATTCACCTGGTCTTCCCTTTAATACCACTCTGCTCCACTTGCTGGTTTTCTTCCAAGGGTCTATTTGGTTCATACAACTACATTCAATCCACTTAGTGCTCGTGACCTGTATTTAACTCTGCTGCATCTGTGATGTATCTGATGCTACATCTTCTCTTGCCCAAAACCTCAACTGCTTTTCCCTTCATTGTATGAAAGATATTACCTCTTTCTCTAAACAACATTCAGTTTACAACTGCAGAAAATCTGGCCCAGGTTCCTAAAGACTCAAGATTTAATAGTTCAAAGTAGGGCGCAAAGACTTTTGAAGAAACAATTCAAATCAGTAACAGGATCTCCTGGATAGTACACATTCTCTGCAACTTACTATATTCTCATTTGTCTCAACCAGCTTACGGTAATTATTAGAGGCTAAGTTTACTCAAATAGGATCGCATATTTGTAAATAAGCCAAAAATTATATTGGCAGGGTTGAAATGCCCTTCTATGAAATTCCTAAATTGACTCAATTACTTCTGGGTCAAGCTGGGATAGTCCAAAATCTGTAATAGCTAATTATATATAGTGTATATGCATTTGTGTGCAAGTGGCACACTCTCCACTCCCAACTTACTGGATATTATATTGTTTTCCATACTCAATGGAAGTAGTTTACCTAGAGAATACAACTTCTTAGTAGTACAAAAAAAATTACTTTTTGAGTAGATGAGAATTTCTGCATTTCATTTTCTGCATCGTCTTCAGTATTACCAATACTTGCTGACTGCTAAAGTCTTCTGCCATGCGCGCTGCAGTTACCAGCAACCTAAAGAAAAAAAGACAAGATATATTTTCCAAAGAAATCCTTCTTCTAAATGGTTGATCTGTGCAGCAGAGACAAAGAGATGTGAGCGTGTCAGATCAGTACATATTGCTCTGATGCTAGAAACCAGTGAGGCTACTTTCAGACTTGTTGGATAAGAAGTAGGGAAGGTAGTCTAAGACACTAAACAATTAATGATCAATTGGCAAGCTACAAATAACAGAATCAGACATGATTCTGGGACAAATAAAGACAATTATTTTTTCTACCTCACACTGATTTTTACCAAAAATAAAATAAATTTCAAAAAAAATCTAGGAAAAGCTTTTGGAACTAAGTCAGCTATGGCAAAATGAACACACGCTTGTGATATATCCAGATCTCTGAGTAGAGGCAAATAAAGAGAAGTCTGAAAATATGACTAATCGTAATTAATACAGCAAATTCTGCCTCAAACTGCAGACTTAGAGAGCTCCATGACTAACACCACCCCCAAATATGATTTTGTAGCACAAGAAAAACAGGCAGAGAAAAATCTGCCACACAGTACTATGCTCTAATGGCTACATAAATGCTGAAGTGTTCCCTGCTGATGACCTTTCATATAGAATAGGATGTACAGCAAACTAAGATAGGACAAGACTCAGGCTGTTTCAGCCACTGCCAGTCTTAAAAAGGAAAAAGCAACACATACCACTGCATATATTTCCCAGGGGAAAGACAGAAAGTTTTTTACTACCATCCACTGTGAAAGGAAGGCTGTAGTCCAAGAGACAGAGCTACAAGATGGCCTCACACAGCAGCATTCACATATGCCTTGATTACTGCATCCAGCTTTCTATGCAACTGTTTTAAGACAAACTGCTATGACAGTGTTTCCATAATGAAGTAATACATTGCTACAAAGTTACAACTGGGAAACCCAACCCTCAGCTCACAGACAGGCTCAGAAATTCCTCCAAACGCTGGTACATTTTTAATTTCTGTGCAAGACTACGGATATATCATAAATAAGACAAAACTGTTAATAAACTTACCTTTCTCTTACCTTGGATCCTGCCATAGGCCCAAGAGTAAAAAATAATTTTGCAAAGGTTTCAGGATCATAATAATCATCTATAGTTTCAGACAGCAACTGTTTAGCAACCAAGCGGAATTCAACATTGTCAAAACCCATCTGCTCGTATAGTCCAAAAATAAGACTGATACTGTGTATATCAAGACAGGGGGCACTTTTAAGGAAAGTCTTGTTACATTTTTCTAGCAATGGATGATATCTCAGTTTAACATTTTGAAGAAACTGTAGTATTCTTTTGGCATAGTTGAAGTGGACTTCATCCTTTTCTTCCAAGAGCTGTCCAGCCTTCTGTAGTAATCGATCTCGAAAACTCTGTGAGATAACATCAGATATGCTGACCATCAAAACCGACAGGATCCTAAAAAATTCAAAAGATTTTACACTTATACATTGAACATAAGAAATCTAAAATTCATTACTTAAATAAAGTACGCAAAGAAAGGAATGTTAGTCAGGGTCTTGCTGGCTTCTGCGTAAAAAGGAATTTTGAATCTAATGCAGAAAAAAAACAGATGAGCAAACCCCATTTTTCCTACTAAAGTCAAAATTCTGCTTTCAGTGAATTTCTGAAACAGTTGGGGCTTTTCAACCATCCTTTGCAAAGTTGTATGCAATGAAAGTGTTTGCCGAAGGCAAGACCCTGACTTACCTGATTCAAATTTGCAAAAAGTTCTTTAACATTCAATGGAAACTATAGAAACCCAAACAATTCTCAAGTGATAGAATGGGGAGAAGAGTCATTGCCACTGCCAAAGAAAGAATCCCTTCCTATGGGAATAAAACTTGTGACTAGAGGGAGAGTCATTTCTGTAAAGAAATGCAGTCCCATTCAAAGAGTTTAATAAGCAGGCTCCTCACATCTGCAAAAATAAGTGTTGGACTGCTGGTGATGTATAAAGCAGAAAAAAAGGAAGAGCAGCCTTTGCTGTAATGGCCTGGGGGGAACAGAGGCAAGAAAGAAGCTTGGACTTCATTGACTAGGGCCAGGTTTTAAGTAATTTTAATATTAGAGTAATGCACTAGACATGCTAAGAAGAGAATTGATTAATTCAACTTGACAAAAAAAAAAAAAAAGCTCTGAAAATAAATAAAAATAACATTGCTTTAAGACTCCTTCTTGCTATTCACAATAGGAAACTAAATCCATGTCATAGTAGAGAAACTATCAATGTGAAGGAAGAAAAGCATCTTCCGGTGAGTCAATAGCCTCTAAATTCTCAAAAAAGGCCATGTAAAATTTAGAATCAGGATAAAGCAGATTCTGCTGGTTTTCCACTGTAAGTAGAACGTTAGTTTAAATTAAGTGCTTAAATTGGTTATAAAGAAATTCTTCACAAAATCATTGGGAAAATGCCTTCGCCTAAGCACACCTACCCTTGAAAATTAATGCTTGAATACAAATCACCTCTTTCCCACAAACTCCAAACCAAAGAAAAGCAACCTCCAGTTGAGAAAAAGGGTAAGCGTTCAGCAAGGCAGCCAAGTAATTCTGACATATTGCTTTGCCTGCTACTCAGTTTCATTCTGACACTTACCTTATATCTTGTATAGAATCCAGTTTCATGTCCACAATGTGAGCTATTTTGCCAATTACGGGACTGAAATGTCTGCGTTGCTTGTATAAACACAATGCAAATTTAGACAGAGCTGGAAAACTAAGCCTGTCAAGACATCAAAGACAGACAGACGGAATATTTACCTTTTATTTCTAGTGAATAACTAAAGACAAAAATCTACTTTAACAATTATATAAAAGACAAAGTTATATGCAAATTGCAAAACAAGGAAACAAAATATCTTAAGCATTTTCTATTTGGTCACCTATAGCAATACGTTGGACTTCACCAAAACACCCAGGTATTTCATATTAAAGCATACTTACTGTGCACATGGAGCTCTACAAAAATCAGAAGTTCTTCAATTAACCAGACCAGTGAAAGAAATCTATAAAGATTACATCCCCAAGCAATGATGTGAAATAGCTAAAATGAATGCGAATAATTTATTACCTGAATGTCATTTTGCGTACAAGCTACACTGAATGTATTTACTTGTCAAGATGCCCCAGCTGTTAAGCTGGGAGAGGCAATTCTATGATGCTGGTGCCAAGACTGACACTAGCTTTTGCCATTAACCTGAGATTAAAGAAGGAAAATTACAATATATAAAAAAATAAAATCAAAACAATGCAACAAAAACCAACAACAAACCACACAAAGGGAAAATGTTGATGTTTTAATACAAAAGGTTTTTACTAAAATTGAGATGAGCATGGTTCTAACAACCATTTAAGAGCTGGACAACAAGCACTAAGGTAAAACTGTAAATATTAAAACCTGCAATTTACTTCAAACACAAATCTACACAGACAATATATTTCAAAATCTTAAGTGTTGGTCCCTGTTGTTGCAGTATCTGAATCTCTCATGCATTTGTATACTGAAGTCCATCAATACTCAAAGCTTCCACATGTATAAATAATTTCCAAAATGTTCAAAAATAAAACTGACATTTAAAATACTCACATAATGTTTTAAACATCTTGTAAATACTCTTTGAGAACTCTGTGTAGCCTCACATGGAGCAAATCACACTTGCAACTTATAGCACTTGCCTTTCTAATCTTTTCCACGCTTCTGAAACAAGCACTTCTGCTAGAGAATTGTGGTCTTCAACATTGAGCCTTCAGAAGAAAGACATAATAGTTTGAAAGGAAATGTCTTCTTTATAAATTTTGAAGCAAATTTCATTATTATTTATCATGTTTTACTTTATATCACTCCCTCCGTTCAAACATATTATAAACATCTGTATATCAATAATCCTAACTCCATTTACTGGGAATGCAAAACAGATCAGCTCTGCCTGCATCTCAAAAACTGAGGCACAGAACGTGTGTGTCTGTGTCATGCAGTCAAGAGCACAGAAGCTAGGACAGGGCAGTCTCCTAATCTCTTAATACGATGGCTTTGTAGTCAAAATTGCACATTTTTTTATCGTCAAATACAAAATGTGGAATTCAACATAATGCTGCTTACCTCAGAATACTATATAGGGTGTCCACTATGGCCTCATCTTCCATTTGTTCCACCTTGTTTTCTGCTAAAATGCAAAGGGTGAGAAACTGGGAGTGATTTCTTATATAGTCACTAGTCCTTAAGAAAAGTGGCCTCTTCTTTTGCAATTGCCACAGCATGTTCAATGCAATTCCCACGTGTTTTTCAGAAAGCCCGGCCTTGTTCCTTCCAACAAGGCTGAACACTTCATCTTCATGGGTGCAGCTGTTTATCTGGCTCAAAAGCAGATCACTGCTCAGAGTCCGAACTTGGTAATGTCTCAGCGTAAACAAGCAAACCTGCCTCAAACAAAGCATTTTGCTATGCCTACCAGCTATCTTTAAAGTGTCCAGAAAGAGTCTTCTTTCACTTTTCACAATAAACCATGTCGTTACAAAGAACAAACTCAAGTATTTGCAAAACAGAAGATAATCTTTCTTTCATCCTGCATGGTCACTGTATTCAGAAGAATTCAGTTCTGAGGTACCTGTAATGATATAGAATTAAAGCAGTTAAGTACAGTCATAAGTACTAGCTAAAAATCAATGCCTCTACCTTTTAACATTCTGAGTAAGGCAAGCTTGAGAAGAACCTAGAGCTTGAACTCTTCTCAGAGAAGCTCCCAACAATGAACACTGACATGCTCACAACCACTAAGAAAAGTCAGTCCACTTGGTAAGTTTTCAAAATTAGAAACCTGCCTTTAAAAGGCACATGTGCTATCATGCTACTACTGAGAAGGCAAAGCTGAGCTTTTTAACATGCAAGTGCTGCATGACTAAGTCAAGTGAGGCTTGCTCTAACTAGGCCACTCCATAATCCCAAATTGGGGTCCAGGAACTGCCAGAAAATACAGCTATTGGTGGTAAAAGGAAGTGAGACGGCAAGAGCTCCTGAGCTGGCATCACTGGATTCTTCTGGCTCTATATGTGCATCCATCCCACAGTGGTATCTGCTGTACCCCATCTATGAGCCTCACCCAGAGTTTCCTTTCCACTCTGCTCTCTTTAGTATGTGGTCTATGTCTTGTAAACACATAAAGATTTCGGTATATGGCTTCTAGTCAGGAAGGTTGACCACTGTTGTAATGTACGATCGATCAGTCACAATGCGTCAGCTGAAATCACCTGCTGCACAAAAGAAAAGCAATCTAATTCCCCAAATTATAGTGGAAGCAACAGCCTTATCTATTGAAATCTGGTATTAATTTGTTTTCTTAACATATCCCCCTACTGGTACACAGTGCTAACAACTACGTATTCTACAACCTACAGAACGGGTTCCAAGCTGTGGAACACAAACCATAGGTGGTAAATGCCATGGTACACCAAAAAAGACCCATCAAATTCCTTTAACTCAGAGATCATGGAAAAGTCTAGAAGGTTTGCTTTAGGAGACATAATCATTAACAACAAAAACTATCAACTTATTGTACCTTCAGCAATCTTGAATGCTCTTCAACTTATCAATAGGCATGATTCCATCAGTGTAATATCAAGGCGATGTCAGCAGCACGCACTGGGTCTACTGAGAAGGAAAAAAACTTCACTTTTAGTCTTCTGATTCTCTCCCCTATCAGAGGGGGAGTGAGGGAGTGGCTTCGTAGTGCTTAGTTGCCGGCTAGGCTTAAACCACACCTTATTTGAGCAGTCTATGTAAGGTACTAAAATCATTCAACAAATTTGGATGTAGCTGGATTTCTTTTGATGTCTGCACAATCAGCTTCAGAGAATAAAGTCAAATGTCATATTGTCCTACACTGCCGCCAATGACCCTGGGGAAGACACAAGGAAAGCTAAAATGAAGTAATTTTAATTTACCATCTGTTATGTTTTCTTCCCCATGCAAAATGAAAGCATACACAAATAAAAGGTACAAATTTTCCAGTTATTATGTATTAAGTAACTTCTATAATAATGATTTGCTTTATAGCCCCTTTTCAGAGATTACTTTTACCGCTTCTATTTGTTCCATACAATAGCTGTCCTTACAAAGAATTTATTACACTTCATCACTGAGAAAAGTTGTGTGACATTATTTCTTCCAAGTAAACTGCATAAAAAGTATTTTTGGCTTTTCCCTCCTAGTACACAGCCACATGCTTTTAGAAGTAACTATGACTTCTTATAAGATCTTATAATGTGTATTAAATAAGCTAAAATACAGACCAAAGGTTGGTCAAGTCACAATCTCGTAATCTTCCACAAAGCCTCAAGTACTAAATTAACCACACTTACCAGACCATTTGACAATTTTTTACCCCACAGATTTTCCAGTTAATTAAAAATACTTTTTCTGTTCCCTTCTGCCATGTAGATGCATGTAGATGGAGCAAATCAGATACAGTGACAATAATTAAAAGCAGACTGTTCCACCAACAGCTTCTAAGCAGAAGCCACAATACAGAGTTATCAGAATTACTGAACTATACAAACTGCCCAGTTTAGAGAAAGAAAAAAAGCATTTCCCCTCTAATGATGTGACAGTAAAGTACAGCTTGAAAACCAGCAAAAATTTTTAATCTTTTTGTATGACCATGTCCAGAGTCCTAGCTACAAATGAACAGGTTTTTTTTTCTTAATCCTGTTTTAGAGAACTAAGCATCAGACAAATATCTTTAAGAGAATACTGACATAGAATCATAGAATCATTTAGGTTGGAAAAGACCTTTAAGATCAAGTCCAACCATTAACCTAGCACTACCAAGTCCAGCACTAAACCGTGTCCCTAAGCACCACATCTACATGTCTTTTAAATACCTCCAGGGATAGGGTCTCAACCACTTCCCACGGCACGCTGTTCCAATGCTTGACAACCCTTTCAGTGAAGAAATTTTTCCTAGTAACCAATCTAAACCTCCCCTGGTACAACTTGAGGCTATTTCCTCTTGTCCTGTTCCTTGTTACTTGGCAGAAGAGACCAACACCCACCTCACTACAACCTCCTTTCAGGTAGTTGTAGAGGGCGATAAGGTCTCCCCTCAGCCTCCTTTTCTCCAGGCTAAACAACCCCAGATCCTTCAGCCACTCCTCATAAGACTTGGGCTCTAGACTCTTCACCATATATTTAAACTAGATTTTAAGATTTCAGGTACTGTATTATAGAACATTAAGCAAAGGCTTTTTATTAGTGTATTTTTGCCTTGCTTACTCTTCCTCTATTTTCGTATGTCCACCCAATAGAAAAAATAGTTACAATATCAATTCACACTTACTCCCCACAGTACTGGCAAGCTAAGCTGCCAGAAGACAGGAAGTAGATACCTGAAGAGAATATAAAAAACTTCAGGCTCAAATAATTTCCTTGTAAGCCCAGGTAACACATCCTTTCCCCTTCTCATGCTGCAGAGGACCTTGCACACCCTACCCCAATGGCTGGGAACCAGGATCTCTATCTAAAACAGTCTGCAAGAAGTTTCCAAATACTTCTCTTTCTGGAAGGTACTTGGCAGATGCAAGTGATTTACCACAAACTTCTATGCAATTTTAAATCATAATTAATTCTAATATCTTAGGAAATCAATAGGAAACATCAGGTGTTTTGAAACTTACAAATACACGGATTAAAACCAGGAAATTTGTAACTACTTAAAGAACTATTCCTAAAGTGTTCTACTTACCATGAAAAATATACACTAAATGGACAAGAAATTCTTTAAAATCACTTCCCATCAGTTGAAACACAGTAAGAGTTTTCAAGGTTGTATTACAAACCGCAGCGAGCCAGGAAGTCTTCCACAAAGGAGAATATATGGGGCACCCACCACTCCCCAAGTATAAAAAGTATTAAAGATTTACGTAGCTAAGCGTTAAGACAACTGCTTGGGCGGTACAGGGTGGCTTTCACCCGTCTGCCAGCGGCACCTCCGTTTTCGCGA